TGTGTGTGTGTGTGTGTGTGTGTGTGTGTGTGTGTGTGTGTGTGTGTGTGTGTGTGTTAGCAACTGGACTTAAGCCAATCGTGCACGGGGAGGACAGGCAAACTCCACTTAGAAAAACATGCACAACTGAAATTTGGTTATTGCAACATAGTTCCCGAGCAACTCACCTCTTTACAGGAAGAGAAGTTTACCATTCGTCAGCACTCAAACTTTTTGAAACCTCAAGCAGTATCATTAATCATGTCAGTGCCTATTGCCTTCAGACATCAGTGAGACTAGACGGAGAAAGMAGAGAAGTGGTTCTGATTTCAACATCCCTGTGTTTGACTTGGTGTTGAATGTTTCTGCTAAGCCTGGTCAATGTCACCAAATTRCTTCTTTGTGTTTTTTGAAATCCCATTTCATAAAACATTAGCAGAGTTGTGTGCTTTGTATTTAGAGCTCACACCAACTTCAGTGAGTCCAGGAGGCCAATGTTGTTTGGCAGGAGCCTGAGGGACACTTTCATCCTACAAWTGTCCTACTTAAGATATGTGTCATAACTGCAATTTGTGTGTGAGTTTGCTTGTGCGTTTGTGTGCGTATGAGTGTATGCAAATCCCTTTTCCCCCTCTCAGCGAGCCACAGGCAGATGGGTCTACRTTTACTCTGGAAAAGGAAGAAACAACAGATAAGCCGGGCTGTGCTTTGAACTCCTTCTCTCCCCCCTTTAACACTTGTTAGAGATCGTTACATGGAGCCGTGTGAGAAACCTAATGCAATTTATTTGCTCTGTGTGTGTGTTAGTTAAAATGAGGGGAGACATATTTGTGTTTCGAAGCAAAAAGACAAACACAGACATTTTATCGTTGGCCAACATCAGCGGAGAAGTAAACATTCCCACAGTTAACCCTGGACTCCTTAATCTCACCCTCCTACACTCCTTAGTCACCAAACATTTGAATACTGAATGCCGTTCCATTTAATCCAAAGGCTRAGCTCATGTTAAAGACATTAAAATAAAAGTCTAGCATTTTTTAATGTATTTAATATCACCTTCCACCCTTCCTTCCAGTTTTAGACCAAGCTCAACTTTCTGTGTAAAACARTGACAAAGTTCTGAGCATAACAGTGCTATGCTTAATCTTAACACAATATTGTGAAATTGTGTGCAATTAATTAGTGTTCAAAGTATCTGTTGGAAATGAATCATAGCTACTACCACACTAAACTTTAGCTCAATGTCTGTAAAATTCATCGAGTTTTAGACATTTTTGTGGTTTGTAAGGTTGAGTAGCAGTGAAGCCGTCTTGATCAGGTTGATCCCAAAGATTAATCAGTTGTAGATGTAATAATATGTTTTGAAAGTTACATTAAAATCCATCTAATAAACAGAAAGACAAACACCACTCACACACAGACATAGGTAACTACAAAATCACTTGACTTGTTCAAAAATGATCAACAAATAAATACATGCAATGCCCTGTTTAAATTTGTAAAAAAATAAGTTATCTCTGTAGCTAAATGACTTTTCTTTTTTTTTTACAAAATTGGGACTCAGCATAAGTGTAAACTGCTGGGGAAGCGTTCCCCACATGGAAAAGACATTAGTGTTCCCTCTAATAAAATTAATATATGAATGTGTGCAACTGTGTGCAGCAAGGAGTGCTGAGCAGAAAGTGCAAAGTGGACAGACAAACTGTGTGTCTGTGAGTGTCTCTGAGAGACAAAACAAATAGACCGAAAGAGAACAGAATTTACGTCTGGACACACACACACACACACACACACACACACACACACACACACACACAC